AAAACAAGTCTATTACAGTCCTACATAGCAGCTTCAATTTGGGGTACAGTTTGAGTTTCTTTTCTAAGAAGGCAGTGTGGTTTTGTATAGAAAATAGTTTTTTTTTTTAATGCTGGTAAAGTACAGATAACATGAAATTTACCATTCTAACCATTAAAACTATTTTTTATTGACATACACCTGACTTACAATATTATATTAGTTTCAGTTGTACAACATAGTGATTCAATATTTTTATACATTATACTCCATATAAAGCTATTATAAAATATTGGCTATATTTGCTGTGCTGTCATTCTAACCATTTTTAAAGGTAGGGTCCTCCTGGATCTGAGAGGTCAATTCCTTCTGTGTCACTATCCTTTTATGCTCAGGCTTAGATCATTCTTTTTTTGTGTGGTAAAATAACATAACATAAAATTTTAAAGCAATTTAAACATTTTTAAGTGTACTTTAGTGGTTTCATGTATATTCACATTGTTGTGTAACCATCACCACTCTCCATCTCCAGAACTTTTTCTTCATCCTATACTGAAACTCTGTACCCTTTAAACCATAACTCCTGATTCTCCCTTCCCTTAGCCCCTGGTAACCTCTATTCTACTTTCTGTCTATGAATTTTACTATTCTAGGTATCTCATATAAGTGTAATCACACAATATTTGTCTTTTTGTGTCTGTCTTATTTCAGTTAGCATATGCCTTCTAGGGTCATCCATCTTGTAGCATGCGTCAGAACTTCCTTCCGTTTTAAGACTGAGTACTATTCCATTGTATGTACATACCACATTGTGTTCATCCATTCATCTGTCAATGGGCATTTGTGTTGTTTCTACCTTTCAGCTATTGTGAATGATGCTACTGTGAACATTGGTATACACACGTATCTGTTTGAGTCTCTCCTTTCAATTTTTTTGGTTACATGTCCAGAAGTGGAGTTGCAGGGTCATATAAGTAAGTCTATAAGAGGCTAGTTTAAGAGCGATCTGGTTTCAAATTTAGCTTCAAACCCTAGCAGGTGTATAATCTTGAGGCAATATACCATGGTGGTTATATGAATGAGCTAGAGGGCTGACTGTCTGGGTCCAGGTTCTGACTTCATTGCTTCCTAGCTACTACTCAATCTATGTGCTTCAGTTTGCACATCTGTAAAATAGGAGAATAAATGTATGAATCGCATTGGGTTCTTGTAAGCATTAGTTATTATTGTTCATTTGTTCCTTTATTACACCTAAAATAATGACTTATGAATGGCTTCAGGGGGTCTGTGAACCCCTCAATATTATATATAAATCTTTCTGTACAAGTGCACTTTTAGATTTTTCAGAAGAGTTACAGTGGTTTATTTTTCCCTTTCTTAGTCAGATTCTCAATGGAACCCTGATCTATCAAAGGGGGAGAAGTGCCATCCTAAAAGAAGTCAGTGGCCTATAATTTAACACCAAGCCTTATAAATGTGAGCTTGATTAAGCAAGCTTGTAAAATGTCCCATGATGCTTTGGGATGAGGTATTCTCTGTGTTGCCTTTGTTCTCCTGGCTAAATTCCAGCCAAGGAAATCCCCTTGCAGCAATCCCCTTTCTGTTCCCAACTATTATAGTATTGCTACAAATGGTTAAAAAAAAGGAAAAGAAAAAGAAAAAATCTAAAAAATTCCCAATTCCATATATAAAGAGAAAGTAAGATATCTGACAGACACACCAAAACATGTGTGAGTGTGTGTGTGTGTATGTGTAATAATTAACCTAACTTCAGCTTTGGATAACCACTTCTTGGGCTTAATATAATAAGGTAACCCACAGCTTAATGTAATATACCAATTTACTTATTAATTCTCCAAGTGGTATAAACATAATGTAAGTCACCTCAGAGGAAGACAAACAATGCATCACATGAGAAAGAGAAGTGATGATAAAGAAAAGCCTATGAGGGCTGCAACAAAGCAGCTCAGTCTCTTCAAAGAATAAAGCTGTGATGGAAACCCATCTTTCATAATTAGCAAAGGGTCTTTTTAAAGGTACTCCATTAATGTGGTGTAGCTGAATCTCCCTTAATAATAATTATTCCTTAGATTTGCATACTACTTTTAACATTTCAAAGAGCTTTTACAGGCTTTATCCTAAAATCAGTGTGGGCTTCCTCTGCTTCCCCAGGGGCCTGCAGGTGTTCACTGCCACGACTCCTCATGGTAGGATAACCTGGAAGCCTGCTGCATTGGCATGCTGGGTCTAAACAAGTAGCAGAGTGGAACTCCATAGCTTGCAGTATAGATCTTTATCCACTAATCCTAAGTCCTCCTCTTGAACAAGATTAGTGAAGCAAAACTAGATTGCAGCAAGCCTAAACTAAGAAGTCCAGAAAAGAGCACTTCAGGCCTTGGAACTATTCTGTATCACACTCATCCAGATACTATTCAACAAATATTTATTGGCTGTCTAATAGTGGCCAGGCATTGTTCTAACGCTGGGTATGCTGCAGTTAACCAATTATTGCCTTTGACAACAAAGAGTAGATATTCCAGTGGAGGAAGGGAGATAACAAAATAAACAAATACATATATAGTATGTTAGCTGATGAAAAGTGTTAAGGTATGTTTAAGGGGCAGCCAATGTGGGGTAGAGTGGTAGGGTGTCAGGTTCCAGGAGGAGCTTGGTGCCCAACTCCACAGAACCTTGTACCTACTGTAAGGAATTTGGTTTTAACTTAGAGTAAGAAGTGAGATAAGGAGGCATTGAAGGGTTTGAAGCAGAAGAACGACATGATCAAATTCACATTTTAATAACGCCGTCTGGCTGCGGTGTTGAGAACAGATTGAAGTGGGCATGAGAGACAGCTATTGCAATAATCCAAGTGAGAACAAGAGTGATATTTCCCTCATGCCCCTTTTCAATCAAAACTCACCCCCTGCCCCAGTAAACTATTGATCTGATTTTTTTTTATCACTATAGATTAGTTCTACTGGTTCTAGAGTTTCATATGAAAGGAAGACAATGAGGTAATGGAGAGGAGGGGCTGGGAGGATATCTGAAGGCTGGCTGTGGAGGGAGGTGGATGCAGCATTCACCAGTAAGAAATGATACATTTTATTGTTCCCTCTTTGTTGGTTAGTGGTTTACATGGTATTTTGAGCTATAAAACAATCTGTCAACTGCTGTGGGTTAGGCCATGTCATGCCACAGCGTCTGAGAGTTCTTAGACAGATGAGCAGAAACAAGACCTGTTGAATGCCCTACCCTCCTTAGGTGGGGACCTCTTTAAAGACTTGGTTCTGCAACCACCATCTGTGTAGTGGGTGTACAGGACTGTCATGGCACTAGAGTGTTCATTTCCTTGCCTGTATTTTAACTCTCCTCTTCACCACAAGTCAATTATATACTGAAGCATATGTATTTCATGAGTTTACTGCACTACTTGTCACCTCATTTGCTACCATTTACCCTCACTCCATAAAAGATCAGCAAAGTCTATTTAAAGCAGTTTCACACCCATACATCTCCACAATGTTGATTTAATTACACCCTTTAAAAACTGGAAAACAATAACATAATTGAATTTTAAAAATATATACTTGGAATAATAGTTTACAAACATTTTGTATTCTTTTGTTTTCACTTATGATATAGATTTCATTTCAACCAGTAGGAAAAAAATATTTATTAGTTTATCATGTCATTAAGCAACTGTTTATTTTAAAAGTCTGAACAAGTTTTGATTGCCTGAAGTGATTAACATATTGGATGAAAAGACAATGGGTACAACATTTAACCTCTAAACAACTTCACAGCCTATTACAGTATTTTAAAAAAATCTTGTATATCAATTATCTCTCAATAAAACTAGAAAAACTGTAATTTGAGATGGTTAAGTGTAATCATTTTTCGGTACATTCAAGCCCTAAGTAACTAAACATCACAGTTAATAAACACAATTTGAGTGTATTCTATAAATAGAGCCCTGTCCTAGTTACTAAGTATAAAAAAATGAATAAAGTATGAGACATGCTTTTGAGGGAATCATCGTTTCTTCTCCACCAAAATGAACCAAACTGGCAAAGTGTCCACAATGAACATGGATTTTCATATCACTTGCTTATTTTATGAAAATAAGAAATATCATGAGTAACATGTGGCACTCTCATCATTTGAGATGGAAACAACGGTAAAAACTTATAAAATCTGATCTGTAAGTTGATAATAGTAACTAATAGATTTTTCAATAAGCAGTGGGCAGTCTGGCTGCCAGTATCCATTTCTGGTCACACAAAATCAGTGTTTAAAAAGAAAAGCCTGTAATTTTCTTCGAGAGAAAAACACAACCCATTTTCAGACAAGCACAAAGTAAAAAGTTCCATTAAGCCTTCTGAAGAGTTTGAAGGTTATGATTTAAAAGAGTGTTCGGGCACTGAAAAAAGTATTCTGTGGCTTTTCATATCACCACCACTAACTACCCTCCCTGATGCAGTGCAATATGGTAAAGGGCCAATTCTGCATTGTGGCCATGAAGCATGTGCAACAGCTTGCAATGAGCAGGAAGTCGGTGTGAGGGCCCCAGGGCTGTTGAAGGAGGATGGTTCAAGGTCAAGGGAAACCACACTGTATGCTTCTCCACTTAAAGTGAAATTAAGTTAATATGAATACTCTAGGGTTGCCCAAAGAGGAAAAAATGGCCAGAGAAGAAAATCCCACGGGTGTATATGGAAGAGACAAAGGGTGGATGCGATTATAATTGTGATGGTGGTAGGGGTGTGGAATTACTCTGGGGAGGTGGAAAGTGCAGACCTGTTGGAATGGAGGTATATATGGGATGCTTGCTTGGATGTGAGCCTCATATATATTTTTAACACTAAGTATAGCATCTTGTTCTTTCTTCCAAATCACTGCATCCATACCTTAAGGAAGGCTCTGAAATTAATAAATAATCCGCTATTGAGCTATACTTTCTTGTATTTAAAAATAATGTTGAACGAGGAATACGAAAATAATAAATGAATCTTCTCACTTACCTTCTCCAGTGTGGCTTGAACCACTGATTCGCTTTCTGTATCTAGGGCAGAAGTAGCCTCATCTAAGATCGGGGTCTTCGGGTTTCGAACTAAAGCTCGAGCAATCGCGATTCTGTTTCTGTCCTCCACTCATTTGAGCTCCTTTTTCCCCTACCAAGGTATTAAATTTCTAATGAAAAATAGGAAAGAAAACAGAAACAGAAGGCAGCATGGTTAGATGATTAGAACAGGAAATGGCAATCACAGTTGTGTTTTAATGCCAGCTTAATCTCTACTTCAGCCTGGCTGGTATTGACTTATGATTTGTTCTTTGTAAAAACAAACAACTATTTTAAAAGAGTGTAGTGAAGAGAAGCCCTAAGAAAAATTTGGCTAGGACTAAAAGACATGAGAACATAGGATAATCAAGGATTTTAAGGAAGATTAATAATAATCTGAACCGATTTTCAAAGTTTTAAAGACATTTTTTGAATGCACTGGTATCTTTAAAAGAAACACTATCTGGACTCTGTTGAATTGATCTATTTGTTTTTCTTTCACCAATACTGTACTGCCTTGATTACTGTAGCTTTATAATAAGTCTTGGAAAGTTGGATAGTGTAGTCTTTTAACTTTGTTCTTCTTCAACATCGTGTTGGCTATTCTTGGTCTTTTGCCTTTCCACATAAACTTGAGAATCAGTTTGTTGATATCCACAAAATAACTTCTGGGATTTCGATTCAGATTGCATAGAATCTATAGATCAAGTTGGAAGAACTGACGTTTTGACAATATTGACCTCTTCCTTTCCATGAATATGGACTATCTCTCCATTTATTTAATTCTTTGATTTTATTTGTCAGAGTTTTGTAGTTTTCTTTATATAAATCTTGTATGTATCTTGTTAGATTTATACCTAAGTATTTCATTTCTTGGAGTCCTAATATAAATGGTATTGTGTTTTTAATGTCCAATTCTACTTGTTCATTGTTGGTATATAGAAAAGTGACTTTTGTATATTAATCTTGTATACTGCAGCCTTGATATAATTGCATTGTGTACTTTTTTGGTCTGTTTCTTTTATCTAGCATAAAATTTTTGAGATTCATCCATGTTGTGTGTATCAGTAATTCACTCCTATTTATTCACAATGTGCATCTATCTTGGGTTGCCAGATTTAGCAAAAACAAAAACACACCAAGAACCAGGGAGCTCAGTTAATTTTGATTTTCATGTAAACAATGGAATACTTTTTTAGTATATTTCATACAATACTTGGGATATACTCATACTAAAAATTATTATTTATCTGAGATTCAAATTTTACTGAAAATTCTGTATTTCATCTGGCAATCCTATATAAATCACAATTTGATTATACATTCAGCTGCTGATGAACATTTGGGTTATTTCCACTTTTTGAATATTATGAACAAAGCTGTTATGAACATTCATGTACATGATATTCTTGTAGTCATATTTTCATTTCTTTTGGAAAAATATGTAGGAATAGAATGCTGAGTCATAAGTATTATGTTTAACATTATAGTAAACTGTCAAATTTCTTTCTAAAATGATTGTACCAATTTCACTTTATTCAGAATGAAAGAGAGATCCAACTGCTTTATATCCTAACCAGAAGTTACCATTGTTATTCCTTTTAATTCTGGCCATTCCACTGAATGTGAAATGGTATCTCATTGTGGTTTTACTTAGGATTTCCCTGATGACTAATAATGTTGAATATTTTTCATGTATATTTTCTCATTTGATTATTTTTTGCTGAAATGTCTGTTCAAGTTTTTGTCCAGTTTTTATTTTATTTTATTTTTTGGTCTAATTACCATTTTGCAAAGTTCTTTATATATTCTGGGTGCACATCCTTTGTCAGGTCTGTGTATTGAATATTTTCTTTCACTCTGTGTCTTGCCTTTTTATTTTCTAAATGGTGTCTTTTAAAAGGTTTTAATTTCAATAAAGCCCAGTTTATCATTTTTTTAACTAGTAAGTGCTTTCCCAGAAATTTTTGCCTACCTTAAGGTCACAAAGATTTTCTCCTCAGTTTTTATTTCTGAAGTTTTATGGCTTAAGTTTTTACATTTGGTCTAAGATTCATGGCAAATTATACGTGTATATAGTATGAGGTAAGGGCCACATTTCTTTTTTTTTTTTTTTTCCCATATGGATATCCAATTTTTCCAACACCATTTGTTGAAAAGACTTTCATTTCTCCAATTGAATTACACTGACCTTGTCAAAAATCAATTGACTAGGTATGTGTGGGTCTATTTCTAGACTCTCTATTGTGTTCCACTGACCTACAAGTCCATTGTTATGTCATTACCAGTGTCTTAATTGCTGTCTTAAAATTAGCTATTGTAGGTCTTCCAGCTTTGTTGTTCTTTTATCAAAATTGTTTTGTCTATTTTTGGTCCTTTAAATTTCCAAATAAATTTTGTAATCAGCATGTTGATTTCTGCACATGCAAAAAGACTGCTGGGATTTTGATTGAAATAGCATTAAATTTATAGATCGATTTGGGGAGAATCCATACCTTTAAAAATATTCAATCTCTAAATCAACGAATAAGGTACATCCTATTTATTTAGGTATTCTTTATTTTTTTAACATCTTTATTGGAGTATAATTGCTTTACAATGGTGTGTTAGTTTCTGCTTTATAACAAAGTGATTCAGTTATACATATACATACGTTCCCATATCTCTTCCCTCTTGCGTCTCCCTCCCTCCCACCCTCCCTATCCCACCCCTCTAGGTGGTCACAGAGCACCCAGCTGATCTCCCTGTGCTACGCAGCTGCTTCCCACTAGCTATATATTTTACGTTTGGTAGTGTATATATGTCCATGCCACTCTCTCACTTTATCACAGCTTACCCTTCCCCCTCCTCATATCCTCAAGTCCATTCTCTAGTAGGTCTGTGTCTT